CGCCGCAGGTCCACCGAGCTCTTTCGCACCCGTTCCTGGCCCTGGGGGACACACACAGTGCCCTGTTTGCCTCCTCTGCGCCCAGCCACCCCCTGGCCCCCCGCACTTCGACCCCCTCACCTTGACGGCCTCGATGCCCCGGTTCCTGGGGCCACGGCGCTTCTCCTCCTCCAGCTCAGGCGTGTTCATCCGCTCCACAGCCGGTGGCTCCCGCACACCATCCGCTTTGAGTCGCTGCACGGGCATGGGGGTGCTGCATGGTCCCGTCCGACCACAGAGCAGCCCCACCACCTCCGCGGAGGTGGCTCTGGGCGCAGGTCACAGCTCATCACTGAGGTCTCTCGGATGCCTGGCAGTCCTTGGGCTTGAGCTTGCCTGCTTGCCCTGCTTAGCAAGCTGGGCACCTGCCTGCTGCTCGGCAAGAGCTCCCGGCTTGGGAACCTGATGCCCCTGAGAGCCCTTGGCCACCTTGCTGCATCCCCCAGGATGGCAGGGTTGGTGCCAGCTGCCTTGCTCCTGGGGCCCTAAGGATGGGCACGGCACACAGCAGGTCCCTGCCACATCCCCCTGCCCTACTGACCCACCTTCTCCTCCTCCTCCTCCTCCGCCAGCTTCTGCTCGATGAGCTCCTTGGCCCTTTGCACATCCAGCTCCATGTCTGCCTGCAGTGCACAGTCCCGTGCAGGATACAGCCTCTCCTCTTCTCCACCACGGGCAGGGAGTGCCCAGCCCAGGTTCCTGGTGCTGCCGTCGGCTCTGCTGGCCGTGGGGCTTTATGCTGCTGGCCCCTCCGTTCCATGGCCCAAGGGCACTGACAGCTGTGACTGCTCCACATGACTGGGGCAGCTTTGCCATGAGCTCACCCTCCTGCTTTCTGGTGGCCCTGGCTCACCTCCCTGGCCCCGCACCCTCTTAAAGAGACCCACTGCCCACGCCATGGGCTGCCTGGGACCCCCGTGCCGGGTGCGGGGAGCTGGGGTGCACACAGCCCCCAGCAGCCAGTCCGGAGAGGCTTGGCGGAGTGGGGACATGGTCTGGGGTCACCCGTGGGTCCTGTGCTTGTGCCACCCACCCTGGGCAGCCAGGATGCTCCCCATGGTTCCCATCACCCCATCCCCATGCAATGAGATGCTGCAGCACCCACCAGCATCGCCTGAGGCTCCCTGGCACCTGGAGGGGGTGTTGCCACCCACCCCAAAGGCAGGTGATGGGGCCCCCCAAACCTCTCAGCCAGTGGCAGGCAGCACATGATGCCAGGAGCTGCGGCCCCTCCGCACCGCTTTGGAGGATGACCTCAGGTGTGGAGCGTCCCGAGCAGCCCTGCCAGGGTCCTGGTGGCTGCCTGGCCTCCCCCGCCATGCACGGGCAGCCTGGCAGCAGGATCCTCCAGCCTCACATGGGGCCGGCAGGCAGAGCTGGCAGCTATTCCCGGCAGCAGGGACATTGTTCAGCCCCCCTAGGCTTTGCTCTCCCCCTTTGTAAGATGAGGCCAGTACTGCCCTGTGCCGGGACAGTTAATACGCTGGGCACCGGCCCCCGGCACAGGACATGGGGGAAGGACAGACAGGGACACGTCACTGTCACCCTCCTGGGCAGCTCCCAGGGCCACCCTTGGGTGCCCTGTCCCACAGGTCCTACAGCCTCCAGCTCCAAAAAGGCACCATTTTCACCAGGACAGGCGATGGTGGCCACGAAGGTGGTCCCAGGACCGTCCCCCTCTGTGGACTGTCCTGCCTCGCCCCAGGCAGACACAGGCTGAAACCTCCGGAGGGGAGTGCCGGGAAAGGGAGGCGGTGGCCCCACACCAGCAAGCAGGCAGGGTGGCAATGGGATGATGGCAGCAGTGCTGGGGAAGGATCCAGACAGGCAAAGAGCTGGGGCTGGCAGGACAGGGTCAAGGTGGCACAAGGGAGCAAAGCTGGGGTGCCCGTCCTGACGTGGGAGTGGATGTAGGACAGGCACGGAGACCCCCTGCGGCTATAGGTGACAACCCCCCCAGCAGCCAGAGGAAGGATGAAAAGGCTTTATTG